CTTGTTTTGAAGTCCTGTATTACTTTCAGTTTTGTTTTGTTTTGATTGGCTTTATTTGGTTTTATTTTGTTCAGTTTTACTCTCTTAAAAATAAAAATTAAATAATAAATAAAAATAAATCAGTCATTTGGCTGGAGAACTGCTCAACAGATACATGATATGATGAGGAAAGATATAAAGAGAAGTAAAGGACAAAGGATATGATGCATGCAACTGTCCTCAAAGATGTTGGTTTTTCTGAAAAACTAAGAGTTACCATTGAGGCTATTTCCATAAGGAAAAGTGACACGAGCTGAAAGTTTATAAAGGTCCCCACTCTCTCACACTTTCCCTCTGCTTCCACAAAGCAGTCATGTGAATCAAATCATCTGACTCTGACACTTCAAATGCTTTAATGAATTCTTCATACCTTTGAAAAATTTTTCAAAGTTTTCATGAGTGTGTAGCCTCAAGTGCTCCACTCGCCTCTTTGAGCTTATAATCAACTCTTCCTTTCTCTACTGGACATCAGTCATATTATCCCCTCCTAGCACACTCAAACTGTTCTTAGTACCCTCAAGCTGTTTTCAGCTTACTTATCCTATAACAAGAATATTTTGTTAGGAAATTTCTTTAAACAGCTATCTCATTTTGAGCTTCATGTAAGCTTAAATTTTTATCTTCCCAGAGAGTTCTTTCTGAGTAACTATTATTTATAACGATCATCTATTTTTTGTAATCTATAATTATCTAGTGTTTGTAGTACATTTTTTAGAGTATAAATTTTACTATGGCAGGGACCGTATTTGTTTTCTTCATTCTTCTGTGGAGTACACTCAGTTCCTCGGTATAAGGAATTGACATATCATAAGTTATGAAGGTTATATGAAAAGACTTTTAGAGCAGGTCAAGAATAGAAACTAGGGACAGATTAAGAAGTTATTTCAGTACCATGGGTAAACAAAGGAGATAGTCATAGAAAAGTGTTGAGGGTGAGGAAGATGAAAAATGGGTCACACGGATACAGTGATCACCTAGATCTAAATATTTGGGGCAACAAAGGAATACCAAGAAGTATTTTGATTCCTTGTTGGCTAAGCCAAGAGTTGTTGATATAGTCAAATAATTCAGGAACTCTGGAAGGAAGAAACGAGGGAAAGAAAAAGAAAGAAAGAAAGAAAGAAAGAAAGAAAGAAAGAAAGAAAGAAAGAAAGAAAAAGAAAGTAGAAAAAAGGAAGAAAGAAAAGAAAAGAAGGGTGTATTTTTCTATGATAATTAAGTGGACTTTTTCTCTTATTATTAAAGGAAAATATAAGGTAGGTATTCAGATGCCAATATACTATTTTTTATTCTTTCCTTTTTTTCTTGTCTTTCTGAAGTCCCCACCAAATGTCTGCATATTTTTTAATTCAAATTTATTTTCAAGGTGATTACTAACAAATTTAAAAAGTAGAAATTAATTTAATCAAAGATGAAAATGAAATAATCATTGCCGAACTTGTGAAAGGAAATTTTCTAAAGAAAAAAATTCTTGACATTTTTTCATGGTAATGTGACATTGTTGATAATAACTTTAAGTGACATAGTCTACCCAGTTATATCATTTAAAGCAATAAGTAAATATATAATCTCTTAAACTTTTACATTTGAGTTATGTTGAATTGTATTTCATAGAGAAAAGATTAGCAACTTTACTGAGATTAAACAATTTATGATAAAATATATGGGAAATGTTTATGTATTTAAATGCCATAAAGAAAAAATAGTATATCTAATGGAAGAAATCAATTACGATAGAATATGAAAATTTGGATACTAGGAGACACTATGACATACTATGCTCTAAAATTAAGACTACTTTCACCTATAAAATCAAAATTAAATCTCCTTAGATCATATTACATAAATTATCTTTTTATTGATGAAACCATTCTGTGGAGATAGTTCAAATGTCTTTTTTATGACATGGAAGGAGTTTAAAAGATGCCTTTCTTTGCTATTACACTGAGAAAAGATCAAAAGAAATGGCTTCAAGGTGTAAAATGAAGACCATATGGCCCAAGCAAGGACAGGTTTGCTATCCTGTTAGTTGTTAAACTGTCAGATAGAGTTCTCAAAAAGCCCCATGACTGTGTCTCCCTGTGAAGTTTAAGGCAGAGTTTCATCCTTTTGGGATAAGTTATGGCAAGTTTTATCTAAAGATCTGTCACTAAATTCAATCTTAGCAACCTCTAAATAATATTTCTAACAAATAAACTCTTATTCTCATGTACTGTTATTAAGAGTTTGGTTCATATCCCCTTGCAATTTAGTAAACAAACTGTATAAAAACTGAATCATGTATGCAAGCCATACCTGAATGAGTAAAGACTTGATTGACCTGATCCATAAAACTTTTAAAAGAAAACGTAAGGGAAAAGCTCCATGATAGTGGTCTTAGTAACAGTATTTTAGGTCATGACTCCAATGTATAGGTTGTGAAATAAAAATAAAATAAATAATACTACATAAAACTAAAAAATTTCTGCACAGGAAATTCATGGAGAAGTATTTATAAACAATATATGCAATAGTGGGTAAATATCTACAATACTTAAGAAATCCATAAAACTCAATGTCAACAAACAAAAATCCCACGAACAACTTTATTAAAGATTGGAAAAATATTTGCATAGACATTTTTCCAAAAGACATACTAATGTCATTGGATATGACAAAAGATGCTCCTCTCAGGAGTCATCAGTGACATGCTGATGACCAAAACTGCAATAATACCTCATGTTACACTGTGGATATAGCTATTACCCAAAAGGCAACACATAATAAGCAGGTTATTATCTATTATGATGATGTAGGTTAAAGAAATTTTGGCATGAATGTAAATTGGAGAGTCATTTGAAAATTAAAGCAGGACTACCACGTTTTCTAGCAATCTCAGTTTGAGGCATATGTCTTAAGAAAACAAAATGATTACCTTAAAGATATATTTGTATCTGTATACTTATTGCAGCATTTTTCATGAACCAAGAGATAAAACAACCTTAGCAGAATGGGTAAATAAAATTTTCTGTAAATACTATTCAGTCTTAAAAAAGAAAGAAATACTGCTACTTATGACAACGTGGCTAAACACAGAGGACATCACACTAAGTACAATAAGTTAAATATAGACAATAGACAAATATCTACTACATGATCTTGCTTATATGTGGAATTGAAAAAGGAGTAATACGTTGAATTTCTAACTACCAGTAGTTAGAAAGTGGTAAAATTAGAAAAATTGATCAAAGCAAATAAACTTGAACTTACAAGATGAATAATCTAGGAAGATCTAATATTTCATAATGCTACAAAAATATCATACATTAATATGAAATTAGCTTGGAAAGAGTGTAAATAGTCTTATCACAAAGATACATAAAATTAAAATAAAAAGTATATATAGGAATGGATATGTGGATTAGTATTACTTTGATAAGCATTTTATATGGAACATGTACATTAATCACCATGTTGAGTAACTTGAAAATGTATAATTTTATTTATTGATAATAGCATATATATATATATATATATATATATGAATTCATATTTCGTTTTATCTCATGTTCCAACATTGGTTAGCTTGACTGTCAGTTTCTGCAATTAATTAAAATTTGGTATTTTTTCACTGCAGATTTGGAGGACATTAATCTTCATTTCTTAAAATATTGCTTTAATTTAAAATTGTTGTATGAAAAGATAATTGATGGAAACTTTATTTTTATGTAATCACATACCCATTCATTCATTATTGCTTTCTAAACAGATACTTTTAGGTGAAAATGAATTTACCATTCATGAAACACAGCTTTAGTTACCAAGCTTTGTACCAGTGGAAATGGCAAGACAGATTAGCATGAATGGGAACTGCAGTAGCACATTGGACACTAGTGAAGAAGCAACTGGCTGTTCGAAGTTTCATAAAAGTGTGCAACAGCCTCCAACTCATTATTGAATAAACTCCATTATATTTGTCAAGTTATTTTTGAACTCACTAGTCCTCAAATTACTGTTTATAGCCACACAGCTAAAAATTCTGAAGTGTTTCTGTCTCTATTATCAGAAATATGCTTTATAAGTATGAAATATGTAGTAGCTCATATAATTAACCAGAACAAAAATTTATAAGCCTATAAGAGCATGCATGACAGGAGAATTGTTTTTCTCTGACATGTAAGTGAAAAATCTACATTATTAAACAAGACAGTTAGCTTTTCCTGTAGCTTTCCTGAGATTTTACCGAATTTATTAATGTCTCTATTATATGAACTAAATTCGTCTCTCCCTCTTATACTTCATAGGTGCACCATAATCTACAATATTCAAAAACACTGAGAAAACTCAGGGTTTTTTTCACTTTAAGAAATACACAAAACGGACATTATGTTTTCTTACTGTATTAAAATTAAGACGTGTGTATATTAGTGCTGCTGTCCTTAAAGATAAACCTTATTTTACTCTTAGTTTTATCATTAACACTATCTAGCGCAGTAATTAGTACCAAAAATACATTTAAGAACTTTCATTTAATAAAGCACAAAGAAAGGAATTCCATTAATCAGTATACTGTTTGGATGCATAGCTACCATTAGATTTTGAAGGTTTTAAAACAAAAAAGAAAACTGGACTTATTAAAATTAGCTGCCAACTCAGAAGGTTTCTTTCCCTTCATCTCTCTTTTGCTTCCTTCTTTTTCTTTAAACAATGGAGAGTAAGAGAAAACTATATGTCCAAAAGATCCAATTTCCCAAAGTTTTAAACAAACATGGATGCTTATTCAAGTCTGGAAATTAAAAATACCTCAGAATACCAGGTTATTATTCAGTGACATGAGAATTCTTCCTAAAGAAAAAAAGAAAATAGAGTACATCTCGCTAGTTCGAGAATGACAAGTGTCAGAGAATGCAGGCAGAGTAGGAAAGAGAAAAGGAAAACATGCATTTCACAATGAGCGCAGGATGCACGATCTAACACGTCACCTTGCTGCTGCGCTTGTGATGATCTTCAGACTGCTGGGATTCCGAATCAGCTTGTCCAGAATGCTGACAATCTGCTCAAACTTAGGTCTGTTGTTCCTGTCTTTCTGCCAGCAGTCCAGCATCAGCTGATACAAGGCAGCAGGGCAGTCCATAGGAGGTGGCAGGCGGTAGCCCTCATCCACAGCTTTAATCACCTGTGTGAGAAGTACAGTTCCCATAGACTTAAAAATTGGGTATATTTCACTTCTTCATTTACAGAGATATGAATATTTTATAATTATATTTAAAAGCCATCGTTGTCAATTGACTAAAATCATAATGTCTGATTAAAAACTGACAACTTATTTATGAGTACAAATATAGGAAGGGAGATCTAGTGAGACAAAATAAATTTAGTGAGGTGTTTATAAAGAACTTTGGCAGACTAAATTGAAAAGAAATATTCCATAATATAGAAAATTTGTTATAAAAATTATTTGGTTGCACAGATCTGGAAGTCTTATATGAATGCATGCAAAGAAAATTAATATACTGAGTTTTACTCTACCACAGATCTTACAGTCCCAAATCATAGCAACTTTCTCTGGTAAAATCCTATGTACTTAAAAATTAAGTAGCTATTTGTTAATTAGAATTTTCAAAAAATGCAAAGAGAGGATTTTTAAACTTTAATATGCTTCAGAATACCTTGAAGATTTCTTAAGTCATAGAATACTACAGCTTCAATTTTTGAGTCTCTGAAACCAAGGGTCTAGGTTAAGCTTTGAGAATTCATATTTGTAAAATTAATTGTTGTAAAACTGTTGTAAAATTGGTGATCCAGGACCATGCTTTGAGATCCTCTGATGTGAGGAGAAGGAAAGAAAAGGAAGACAAGAGAAGAAGAGAGGAGAAGAGAGGAGAGGAGAGGAGAGGAGAAGAGAGGAGAGGAGGGGAAAGGAGAGGAGGGGAAAGGAGAGGAGAGGAGAAGAGAGGAGAGGAGAGAAGAGGAGAGGAGAGGAGAGGAGAGGAGAGGAGAGGAGAGGAGAGGAGAGGGGAGGGGAGGGCAGGGGAGGCAAGGGGAAGGGAGGAGAGGAGAGGGGAGGGGAGGTGGGGAGAGGAGAGGAGAGGATGGGGGAAGGGAGGGAAGAGGGGAGGAGAGAAGAGGAGAAGAGAGAAGGAAAATTGAGCTTTACTTTCCAAGTATTATTATTAAGAACAAAAATCAAAACAAAATAAAATAAATCCAGTATGTTAGTGGAAGTAAAGAAAAACATATATCTAAATATCTTTGAAGAAATTTTGTAAGTTAGTAAATAACAAATGGCTGAAAATACTTCAGTTTGGCTTCTTTTATATCTTGAGATCATGCTCAAAATTTATGATTAAGGATAAAGTACTGAGTCCAGATACTATTAACATTCTTTTACTACGAATTAGCACAATATAAGCCATAAAACCAAATTGCCTTTGGAAAAACAATCATATCACAGTTATAATAAAAAAACTTAAGATAATTGCTCTACCTAGAGACTCTAAAGTTATAAACAAAATTCATGTGCAAGTTTATTATATTATCAGAAACATTACAGAGTGATTATTATGTTTCATTTTGTGCAATACTAAACTTAATTAAACAAGATGAAATAGATACATTAAATTAATCAACAAAGCATGGAAAACTTGCATCTTAATGTTACAGAGGAACAATTTTGTAGAAAAAATATTTCAAATATTTCATGATATATTTTTGGTATTTTTATTGGTCACATATGTTACTTCATGTTTAACCGAAAGATATTTCATCTCTTCACATTCCTGAATCCCTGTTTGATGGAAATGTGTAAGGCTGTAGGAGCAATGCAATTAATATTCTTGGAAGACTTGAAAACAGCTTCATTTCTTCTAAGTGTTCTATTTCAATGTCATAAACTATGAACACCTGGTTTCATTATGCTCCACTTCCTTGCACAGCTTGAATTTTTAATCTGAACTCATAAGTCATAAACTAAAAATACATACTTACATCCTGATTGGACATCTCCCAGTATGGTCTCTCTCCGTAAGACATTACCTCCCAGAGAACAATCCCATAACTCCATACATCACTCGCTGATGTAAACTTGCGGTAAGCTATTGCTTCTGGTGACGTCCAACGAATTGGGATTTTCCCCCCCTTCAAATAGAAAATCATGCTTTAATAAAAGAGCAATATGCAGAACATATAACATATGTAACATAATTTGAAATCTGAAGTAATATGTGAGGGTGTTTTTATTCTGAAATGGAACATAGGCTTCTACTAAAATATCTTGATATTCTATTATAATACCAGCCAGGAACATTCCATTTATAACAAAATTTACTTGCAAATAGTGTTGAAGAATTTTGAAATCACAAAAATAGAAATTTACTTAAATGTCAATATTTATACTAATTTTGAAACCTTGATTAAATTCCTACAACAAAATGGAAATATTTTGGATATAATACACCTAAATATTAAAATAATTATCAAAAATCATCCTGTATTTAACATAGATTTGTGTTTGACCAAGCAATCTGTTAAGAAAAAAGAAAAATTTGACATCTGTAAATAATTTAGAAAGCTTTCTGACACATATGTTTACAGATGTTAACAAGCACATTTAAATTAAAACTATGCTTTTAAAAATTTCAGCTTACTCATCAATTTTTTTGAATGTTATGAACAAAGAAATAAATGTTTTATGACATAGATATGACCTTAAATCATTCATTATTTAATGTACATGTGTATTACCATGCCTCATATTATGCCACAGATATGGAATAATTAAAATTTTTAAACATTATGAGATCTTATAGCTATATTTCTAGAATTTATAGTCTGCAGAAGAATAATTTTGGGTTATAGGAACTATAAAGCTATATATTCCATAGAGTTTTCATAGAATTATTATTAAATAATTTTAACAAAAATATATCAAATAGCACTATACAAGTCATTTTGGGTTGAACTATTAAAAATAAAAAACCTGGATCTTTTGTTTAGAAAATGTCTGGCAAAAAGGAATGATAATAATTTATCTTGAAACAATATAGAAAATAAGTCTATAGTACATTATTTTTCATAGTTTCAGTTTTTGTGTATCATGGAAGGCTAATACTTATTAAAATAAAAATTTTGATTCAAGAATTCCAGTGTCTATATTTCTAACTAATGCAAGTGGTGATGATTATTCTGAACACTAAATAGCAAAGAATGGTACCTTCTGTGGATGTTAAAACCAAATCTGGAATTCTTTTTATTTATTTATTTATGGTACTGGGAATTAGACTGAAGATCTCACCCTTGCCAGGCAGAAGGTTATGTTGCTGAGCTAAATCTCTGGCCCCCAAATATAGGATTTTAGGATTCAAAACTTTAAGTATCTTGATTTTAACAGATGCCAATTTATATATGTGGCACTTAACAAAATTTAATCAAAGTGCCAAATGATGTGATTAGATATATTTTCTCTTCCTTAAACAATTTAGAGAACTAACAAGTCAAGCAATGTGGTAAGCTTGTGAGAAAGGAAGTACAATATTTTAATATATCAATTGCAAAAGACTTCCCCATGTTCCCGTGTCACTCTCATTTTACTAGAACCAAATGACTGAAATGACATTGAAAATAGTAAAACAAAGAGAAAAAAAAGTCTTTCCATGTTGAAAACTTGGAAAGTTTGCTTGGAAGCAAAACATTAGTATGTATCACCCTACTAAAGTCACTGGTTGTGATCAAAATATATAAATTAAAATATCTATAAGCAAATAACAGAAAAAAAACTATTTAGTTGTATTTTCAATCACACGAAAATGGAACATGCCACAGTTAGTTCACCTTAAGCTTATCATTATTGTTTTTCAGAAAAAGAGCATTGGTATTTTAATCAAATTTCTTACAATACTAAACTACTGAACAGTACTCTTATTTTTTTTTTAATGTGGATACATGCATTGCCATGCCTAGGTTTAGAAAAGATCTGTTCCACGTGTAGATATAATGATATTGAATAATGTCTGCCAAATTCCGGTGCCCATCATTTCTTGGAGGCTCTGTCTTACAGAATCCCTTATTTTGCGCTGGAATTTATGGCGTGTGTAATCTATGCAGTAGATGGTTACAGATTCAGGTTAATTATTTTCATCACAATATTGCAATCAATGTCATTTGTTTTCAACTGTATAAATCTTATTAGAATTAAAAAAACTAGTACAAGTGGAAAGTGTGCTTGGAGAAATGCATTGTAAGTTGTATTACTGAAGGAAAATTGAAGGGAGGGGTAATCAGAGATCGAACTCATGACCTCGCAGTTGCTAGGCAGGTGTTTGTGTCACTGAGCTAAATCTCTGGCTTAAAATAAATATTTTTAAAAATTTCTTTTCCTTCCATGTTTTATAACTGTTGTGAACTACACACACACACGCGTGCATGCACACACTATGCTACTGTTACAATAACTTCAAAATTTTCAATTGACTTAACTCTAATAAAATGATAATCATAGATTTAATACTTGCATCCATTCTCTAGTCAGGCATCTTGTAGATGATATAATTCATCTCTGAATGAGTCAAGAATTGAATTAAAATAATCCAATAATATTACTTAATATTGAATTCAATATTATTACTTAATATTTTGTCATTGGTGATGGCCTTATGATATACGTAAGGAAACTAATAGTGTCTAATCTTTAATACAGTGCTCACTAATGCTTTGCCACTCCTACTCTGTCAATCGCTTCTATAGGTTAATGCAACTTTCCTACAGTTATACCAGCAGAAGAGATTTCATACCAGCAAAATGCTGATGCAAATTTTAAAAAAAGTGTGCATGTTATCAGAAAATCTTCCAATTCTACTCTGTATTTTCACACTATATTCACCACTAGCAAAATGAGGACAACTAGGTTTGTCTTATCTTCTGACATAAGTAAAACTGGAGCTCCCCAAGTCTAATTTAAAATCATGAACCTATGAACAGCTAAATATTTTACAAAGCTGAAGACAAGAAACAATTTACAGGAGCCTATGCTCACCACAGAGAAGTGTGACTTCTGTATTAATATATCATCTTGGCTGCTGTGCAGAGCAGGCATTGAACAAGGCATCTCGTTCGGAGTTGAGACCCCTGTTTCTTAAATATATTCTACCTTTAGAAAAAAAAATCACAGTTTTCTCTTAAGTGACTTTTTTCACCACTGACTTCTGTTATTGGTAAAATATTTTAACTTAAACCATCTATCAAACAAGTTATGCTTGGTGGAACATTTGGGAGTCATCAAGGTAGAATGGGTTTATCTTCTGTGTTCCTTCAACTGCTGAAAACTTCAACTGCTGTCTTTATGTTCTTGGCTTTGCATTCTCACAGTTTAAAATCCAATTCAGATGCTGGACATGGTTGCAGCAAAAGGACCAAAGTTCAAAACCAGGGTGAATAACTTACTGAGACTATGTCTCAAAATAAAATAAAATAAAATAAGAAGCCAGAGATATAGTTCAATGTTGCAATGGTAGAGCATTCACCTAACCTAAACCTAAATTCTTTGGATTTAATACATTATAATTTGATATATATATATATATATATATATATATATATATATATATAGAGAGAGAGAGAGAGAGAGAGAGAGACAGACAGACAGACAGACTTTCTACCTCCCCCATCTGCATGTTATTCAGTGTAATTTACATGCTAAATTTTCTAAGTAACACGTTCGTTATCTAACAGTTATTTTACAATGAGATTACATAATATCCAGACTTTACATTTTTCAAACATACAATATAATAGCACTAACTATAGACACATTGCTGTGTATTAGGTTTTTTCAGAATTTATTCCTTCTATGTAAATGCACTGATGTATCATTTCAGCAGTGTCTCCCTATGGCCCACCTCATCTGCTCTCCACTTCCAGAAGATTAGAATTTTTAAAAATATCTGAACTATTACATGAAAACATGAAAATTAAATGTATTCAATGGAATAACATAATGTTTCAATATTCATATATATTCTGTAACATTCAAAACAGATTAAACATATCTACAAGTATCTCCTCCCTCATGGTTCATTTCTTTAGGGTTAACATTATCAAAACTCTTTCTTCTGGGTTTTGAAATGGACCTTACATGAGTGTTGTCACCCTGCTCTCCAATAGCATGCACACCATGAGTTCCTTCTCTCACCTAACTGAACACTGACCAACCTTTCCCCAAATGCCTTCTCAATGCTCCCTTACCTTCATCTCTGGTTACCATTATTCTACTCGCAACATTTTTGAGATCAAATTTATTTGAGTTCACATATGAATGAGCTTGAACAGTATGTGTGCTGGTTTATTTCACTTCGTGTAATGTTTCCAAGTCCATTCATGTCATCACAAATGGTGAGATTCCACTCTTTTCATAACACCATAGTATTCTGTTGTAAATATATACCACTGACTGATTAATATGTCAACCTCAGAGTACACTGGAAAACAAAACTGCCTTTTTACTCCCATCTTTGTGCATCCTGAGTATCACTGGAGCAAACCTTCTCTAGAGAAGCACCATCCACATCTCTGACCAGGTTATTTCTGGGATGAGACTTGTTCTGTCAATTGTGAGTTCAGCAGCACTCATGACATATGTTGCCACATTATATTAGTATTTCCCAGTGGTGAAAGACAAAAATGCTTCCACACAATATCAAGTATCCATGAGGGAACAAAATCACCCCCATTTGAGAACCACAACTTTAGATGGTATGTGAGGAATCTAGATTAGCAAAAGAAAGTAATCCAAGTAAGCCCTAGGATCTTTTTGGGATTTTACATAGACTAAGTTGAATCACATTTTTTAAACCATTTTTACTCATTTTAGTAATTTTTTTTATCACTGCCTTGGGCTTTAGCTTTAAAGACTGGAAAAACAAGAGCCAAATTCACCAGATCTAACCCTGTAATTCCTGGACCTTTGATAACATAACAGTATCCAATATGAAATTTTCCATGATTTTAATTTGTTTGCTCTTTTTTTTAAATTTTCTTTTGGTTTTACACAAATGCACACACACACACACACACACACACATGCACACACACGCACACACACACTGAAAACAGGACAATTTTCTATTTTTATTAAAATTTAAATT